CTATATTGTGCCAAACACATTATGGTGAGATTCTAAAATACCACAACAACAATCTTTTCTATTAGAATTGAACACTCACCCTCAAAAAACAACTATGAGAAATCATAGGTGCTCAAATCACCATTTCTTCAGCTCTTTTTTTTCCCATATTTGGGTTTTTTGACTTATTTTATTATATGATCTTTGATTTGCTATGGCATCTAATATGGAAACTGAAAAATATAAATATGTGACATGTAATTAACTGTTTAAGATACCTTACCATATACAAACTGTGTGATATCTAAAACCATTTGAATCCCGAAGATCTTACCGAAGCCGTGAAAATCTGTTTTAATAACCCTTGTTTGTCATGTGACTGGACTGTCACAGTAATTAGAAGAGAGCCATGTGGCTTAGTGTGTAAGGCACTGGCTTGCTACCCGAGAGTTTGTAGGTTTGCTCCCAGTGTTGACCGAGAAAGCTCATTTGGATTTTTTAGCATGGATTCCCTGTCTAGTCGTCATGGTGGCTAAGTGGGTAAGACGCTGGCTCGCTAGCCTGGAGGTAGGGTGTTCGATCCCTGCATTGGCCGAGAAAGTTCACCCAGATTTTCCGGCGTGGTTCCCCCTTGTCAGTGATGCAGGATGGAGGGCCTGACAAGGACAGTTGTCTAGTCATTCGGATGATACGAAAAAACGAGGTCCCGTGTACACGTTGGCGTCCACGTAAAAGATCCCTTGACAGTTGGAATTCGATACACCGCAGTGCCGCTGTCCGGGCAAAATTTCCCTCATAGCACACTGTGTGGTGTATGCCTGTCTTCATTAGCCCAGTTCGGAGCAAAATAGTAGGACGTTAAACCCCATTTCATTTCTAGTAGTTTCAATGGAACACAAAACCTGAGGTCCAATTGGCGTGCATTTAAGCCGATAGTATGGTAGTTGGAATTTGTTGGCTGTAGCACCCGTGTCACAGTTCGACTGCTAGTTTGTGATACCCACTCGATATAAATGAGTGGTGATTGGCTAATGAATTCTAAAATCAGACGAATGCTTCGGCGAAGCGGACAGCAGGACACACCACTCAAATACAATTCGACCAAATATATTAAACATGTTTGATTCGGGCGTATGTCAGTGGATAAACTAGGTGAAGTTTAGCGCCAATTGATTCAGCCGAATCCTTTGGCTAGTTTATCCAGTACTGACGATTTAAGTTTGTACTTTCTTTATATGCAAATATAACATTTGAAAGAGGCTGTAGGCCTACTTTCTTTATATGCAAATATCTTATTTGAAATAGGCCATTATTATGTGATTCCCCACTTGAATGTGACTAGGAATAAGGTCGCCTGTCCAGCCTTGTGGGTTTTCTCCGGGTCCTCCGGTTTCCTCCCTTTGCTAAATACCCCTAGGGTGTATTCGAAACAGTGTTCCGGTGCAGAGAACGGACGGAGAATGGGTTCTTGTCGGACTTGAGCAGTCTGGAATGCGTTCACGAACACGTTCCCGTTCTCAAATCCCACACTACCTCATAGCTGGTGTGAGGGAGAACAAACATGGTCGACGCATCGATAACTGCTGAGAAAACAGCATCATGGGTGCATTTATTAATTTAAAAGTTTAATACCGTTCGAAAATTGGATGTAGTATGTGGCCAGTATAACATCAAATAAGTTAGGTTGCCAGGCAACGAAACATATGCCCACAGCAGTTTAATCGTTTGCTCAGTCAACAGGGATTGTCGCATATTCATTCTTTTGTAGGTAATGTGGGCATTTACAAGAAAAGATTATAATTTTTGTCGTTTGTGGGTTTACAAAGGTTCTACAAACTGAAACAAGGGCCTTAATTGTTGAAATTTGACAGATTTTTTTGTTTTGTGTTTTACTAATTTAAATAATGCATACAAATCGGATGATAATTTTGTTGTCCGCGCGTTCACAAGGTTCCAAAAAGTGAAACAAGGGCCACAACTCTAGACATAATTCACGGAAATCGCAGAAATTTAATAGACGTCTTCGTTTTACTAATTTAAAAGATGCAAATGAATTTCACAAAGTGAAACAAGGGCCATAACTCCAGAAGAAACTAACGGAAATTATTGAAATTAAATAGGATTCATCTCATTAAAATAAACAACATATCAATTTCAAAATAATCAGGTCTGTAGACGACGGACAACCTACGGACGAGGGCGATGACAATATGCGACCACATTTCCATGTGGTCGTATCAAAAGGTGATGTAATCGTCATCCAAAGAATTGAAAAGGAGTAAAATGGAGTCATAATTTATCATAAGTATGCCTAATAGCGAAGTCAATACCAAACAAGTTATCGTAACAGATTGTATAAATTTAATTCATCTTGTTACCATGGATACCGTTCTCTCATGTTCGAGACTCATGAAAGTGTTTTCATGTTCTTCAGCCGTTCTCGAACCTGCGCGAACACTGTTTCTAATACACTCCTACGGTACGCGCAAGCAAATCATTCAAATAAAATTGAACAATATTAGCCTCAAAATTACCTAGCGCCAGTAAGTATAAAGGATCTATCCGACAAACACTAACAACAACTCTAGGTTTATGCAGAATTAATATAACACAACATACACAGATGGCAATAGAATGAGACAGTGTTCAGGAAAAGGGCGGAAACGGAAGAAGACTACCCGTCCTACTTGATTCTAGGACATAAAGCATGGGCCTACTTGATTCGACCTTGTCTGCGATATCACCTCGGTGGAAGCGGACGTAAAATACAACTAACCCATCATTGATTCGACCAATTTAATACAAGGAAATGAATGGCATAGTTTGTGTCAAGTGAATTTAGTGAATTTTAAACCCCATTTACTCGCCCTCTCTCTAGAGATAAATACTTTTCCTGTTACATACAATAACAATTATTGGCCATTATTTAAAAAATATATTAAAAGGAAATGAAATTCTGTTACCTGTTTTTCTTTGTGTAGTACATATGCTAACATCAATGACTGGAAAAAAAATAACGAAACTGTAGAGAAACTTCTGAATCATTGAAAGTCTAATTATTAGGCCTACACATTGATGACATTGATATAAAAAAAAGGCTGATTTGTTTGTTGTTGTTTTTTTCTTTTACAGAAATATTAAGATTACATTTCAAATAAACAACTAACACAAAAGTTAGTATCTAGCTATAGTCCATGTCTGGATATACATTTCTCCTTTTTTTTTGGCCCGAACGTCTATAAAAATCAAAGATGGCGGCCAATAATTGCAACCGGGCATTACTATAAAATCAAGACAGATTCTTACCTGCTGGTCCTAGTCGGGGGTTTCTTGCAATTATAAGTATTTGAACAACGGTGTAGCGCCGATTAGCTAATAATAATTAAGCACGATTTCAGAAAAATTAAGACAGATTCATTAGATTGCTGAATTAGCGGAACACTTTTAGAACACATCAAAAAAAATTTCTTTGTGGCGCCATTATATAAATAGAATTTCGGTGCAGTCAGTGGCAGTGGTTCTAAATCTGACTGTTTTAAACGAAACGAATTATTATATACATAGAAGCAATATATACATGCTAAATTAAATACACGGTTTTATTTTTTGTAAAAATTTACAAACCTGCGGTCTGGTATTCTATGTGACCATTATAATTTTTTTTTTAAAAATATCACGGCTAAAGCACTCTGTTGATGCTAACGTCACTACATCTAACTGAATGTCGCTGATATAATATCAAAGAAAGAATTTGTCGCAATGACTAAAGTATAGATACTTCTTCTTAGTTAGTTGTATTTTACGCCCGCTTCCACCGAAGTGATATCGCAGACAAAAAGTATAGATAACTTGGAGAACCATTATATCAATAAGTCGATTATGAGATACACGTGGATGATCAATTAAATTTGATTGGTTACTTTTCAGTTAACCAATACTGTCCAATTTCGATTACATCAACCAATTACATTATTAAGAGTTTTACTCATTTTTTTTGTTCATTGCACATTGAATCAATTTTCGAAAACACCAGGGTGCTGAAAATCACATGTACACTATATATTCATTTGGTCTATCAGTTTATTGGGTCAATAAAAAAAGACAGACATTTTAACTATACAGACAACTTAACACCAATTAACATTCAAGTCTGTCTGGCAATTGTCTGATTAATTGGTACTCACTCCCTTCCAGTGATTTTCGAGATGTAAATTAAGCCCTTTATTACTTTTCTTAAAACTTGACGACTCCCGAATTCAGACTTTGTATGGAGTTTTTTTCTTAAAAAGAAAACAAATCGTGGAAGTACACATTACTTGTGTTAATGATATGAAAAAACACACAAGATTTTATAAATCGACACAAGTTTGTGTTAATGCAATGCAAAACAACACATAACTTGTGTAGATTAGTTTTAACACAAGTACTTGTGTTGAGATCCAACACAAGTGTTTTTTCAGTGTAGTTAAACCCCCAAATTAATCATTCTGCCGAATATTCCCGAATGCGAGTACATCGCTAACATTGTAAGTTGTCAGGTAAATAAAAGGGAGGGAATCGGGTGTCCGACACCTGCATGTATAGGACAATTTGATACCAGTAGTACCTGCGGGGATATCTACTCGCCCATTCACAGAGGTGTGAATATTCTCCAATATTCACCTTATAAAAATACCTTAGTCGAAAGAAGTTAATAATTTGATAAAATGTCATCAAAAGCTTTGGTAATATCATATGTTATTCTGTAAAGGTGGACGATTGTTGGTTACGATATTTAATACTCTTGATAGAATGAAATTTCTCACTGGACCGTAAAGTATTATTTCTATATAAACTGGAGGCCTATACATCTTTCACAGAAATATTGTATACCTCTTTAGTAACATATAGGTAAATTATTAAAGTTCCACGTTCCCAACTCATCGTTTAATATAATTAAGGGCCCAAATTAGTCACATATGTGTGAATTGTTTAAAATTCAGTTTGTAGGGAATCAATAGAACTGTAGATATGGTACTAACATTTTGGATTTCCATATAAAGTCTCGAACACGCCTGTTTTGATAACTAAAATGTTCACGAATGAAATTGGGATTGTGCCTGGTCATACTAATATATATCACGGAACATAATCCGGACTCGCGATGACAAACTGCAGCTGTGTATAGAGTTTGTTCATATCTACTGAATTTAAAATCGCTATGGTAATATATTTTAGTTGATGTCTTATTAAAATGTTGACAGGTTAGGTGGAATAAACTGCAGATGAATATTTTCGAAACAGAAGAAACTACTTTTCATTGTTGGTTAAATAATTTACATCAAAGCTTGTTTTTTTTTAATAAAAACTATGATTACATCCCTTTGTACAAAAACTTCTAATTTGAAGATCGTGGAAGGCCCCAATATATGGTAAGTGTTAATAGATCATCTACAATACTTTGGAAACTACGTCATTTAAGGCTTTGAAAATTAACCTATTACCAATTTTTTTTATTTCCGGCGTCACGAATGCAGGCATATTACGACTGATATTATTTCAATTCTCTATGCTTCCTGTGAATCTAGAATTTAGTTGAATATACCGTAAAGAACGCACGAGGAGACCAGTCGCCGGAAGGCAGCCCACAAATCCCGGGTTACCCGTTATAGACAAGGCTTGATAATGAAGGTTTGTATGACGGTGTGTAAAATACCGTCTGATTAGGTCCACGGGTGACCCAAGATGACGGAAATAAAATGGCCGTGGTTGTCAAATGACCAAATTAAGATGGATACCGGTTTCATTAAAATTTAATATCGTGTTGACATGGAGCGGAATGAACTTCGGGCATACGACTCTAAGAAACGACAACAAAGACATGATCAACGTTATCTGCGGTGCCAGAAGAAAGGTCGCACGTCTTCTACACTAATAAAACTTTCTTGCCCAGTCGTTGCTAACGGCCCGCGTAATGTTTCATTTCCGGTTGGAAATTACTCCACGCTTGTTAATCAGTTCACGTCAGGAAAATGTGAATAGTAAGGACATTTGTTAGGACTATTTCCTGGCGGCCGCGATTTCCAGGATTTAGAAATCGTGGATCATCGTTAGTAAACGACACTTTAGGGCCAATATATTTCTGGCGAAGAAAAAACAATATCCTCTTCGTCTGCTTAAACTTAGAATAAATATTCTGTAACGAGAACAAAAAGGCCATGTGTAGGAATATGGTTGAGATGCTTATTGGACTCGCGTAGTATTAGGTGGCCAGAAAGGGTTAGCATATCTTGACCCATGCAAGACTAGAACTAAGCGGTGTAAAATGACGTGCATGCTATTAATATTAAACAGTTCAAACATTGAAATATATCGATTATTTACCTAAAAAAAGTCCTTTACATAGCTATTAAATAGTTGATATGTTTTAGACCAATAGACTTAAAGAGGAATTAACATTCTCACAATGGAACAAAATGTACAATAATATAATATACAAAAAACCTCAAAACTCTAGTTATTACTGTAAACCCGAGAACGGACCTCGGAGCAATAGTAAGTTAAAATAGTTTAAAAACCCCGGGGATCGTTAAATCAGTTTAACGTCGTCGTCTGAACGCACATGTGGGGCAAATAAACCAGCTCGCGACCTGTCTTCGAGAAGGCTTTTTATTTGAAACTGGTTCATCTTGTGGAGATATCGTAGACTTAGAGAGGAATACCCGAGAACGGAACTCAGAGTAAGTCATTAACACTACAGCAAACGTTCGGTTAACTCATTGAACACACCACTTAAAAAATGTGTACCAGTCGTAAATTGGCAGTGAAAAGGTTTATATTTCAGCGATGGCTCGGCAAAATGTGCATCACATCAATTCCTCTTTAAAGATACATTATGGGAGATTAGATAAAGAGCTGACAGTTCTCACTATAATACTTAAAAACTAGATAATGTAAAGGGAATTTGCTAAAAATGTCAATCAAATTGATTCATTCTGAACCGAGAATTTAGCGATTGAATTTTAGGCTAAGCCTTGATCGTCATTACTGAAGTCGGTACGATAAAAAAAACATAGTCACGATTATCCATGTTTTTATTTGATCACGAATGAGCGTTGAGCAGCAGATCGGATCCTAATCAAGTAAATATCGAAGGTTAGCGATGACATCGAGAGCTAATTAATGACTAATTTATAATTTAGATACCATTTCAAGCCTAAAGAAAGACCCGCAAGAGGCAGATTTAGCTCTTGCATAATGCATGTTTAAATATTCATTCTCTTGAATAATGATAAAACAGAAATTGCTAAAGTATTAAAATAATTATAATTTGCACAAATTTATATATATATATATATATATATATATATTCAAATTATTATACCCATAAATATAATATTATAGTTATAAATGTTTAAATGGAACATCTGCTGTAGAACAAATAGATCACACATAAATCCACAGATAACATGGTGCCATATGTTATGTGCAGAATAAAAATTATTTTATTGCCCGTTCAGACCGATTTTATCTTCGCAGTTTGACGCCTGACCTTTGAGAGGTTTAGATTGGGATAATATTGGAGAGATGTCGAACAAAACATAATTCCTTTCCGAATTATAGACCTCCCGTATTCGGCGTCTCAATGGAACACACTCTCTCCGCAGTGATTAACACGACTTAATCTGTATTGGGAGTTTTTTCGGATTAATCTATCGGTAGGTGGCACTGCATTGACGTAGTTAACTCTCGTGGATTTCTTCAAGGTTTAACAAATCTAGCTAGGTACCTGTTTCTCGACACGCGTGCCGCCTACCAGTAAGATTCTCTAAGATGTGCGCTTTTTCTTCGCGCAATCTGGTATCAACGTCCAGATATATTGTTTCCGGGTTAAACTGATTGATCATTGATCCTTGACATCGTGTCACTAGAGGCAGTACGCACGAATCCAAAAGGTCAGGATTTTCAACCTATTTGATGAAGACAGATATGTGTCACGTATTTATTGTAGAAGACCGAACCAAATGAGGTCGGTTGCATTACTATACATTTAAATCTATATATTCTTGCAACGCTAAATGTATTTTAGATTCCCATGATTCTTGTAAATTATTAAAATAATCTTGAGTAGTGATGGGATAAACTTAGTTTCCATATATTAAGCGGAAGTCGGGTTGTTTACTAATTTTAGTTTTATTGGCTATATCTAAGGACGTAAAATTTGAAACAAAGCGAAACTGACACTTCACATAAGAAATCAAACAATACGCTTCCATGAAATCAACAAAATCTGATGAAAACACCGATCCTATTTCTTTTAGTTTTTTATAGTTCAAAATTTCGTTTTGCTTGTCTTTACTACACTAGGATCTGGAAGAGTTGTTATATATATACCCGCGTTCTAGATGATGTGAGGCATTTGCCAATAAAACGGTCTGTGGGTAACCCACGAGAAACATCAACGCTGGTTGATTAACAAATGCCTGACGTCATAGGGTCAAAAGTCGCTCGTATGACCTTTGACACGACCTTCCACTACAACCGGCCAGATCTCAATGTAGTAGAGGCCATCGAAAGTATATATAAAAAAACGAAACGAAATATAGATCTGTATTTTAATCAGACTGGAAATCGACACTGACAAATTTTAGTTTCGAAATATTACACGGAAGTCGGGTTGTTTACCAGTTTTAACCTTATGTTAGTCAAAACGTAAAATTTGGAACGAAAACTAACTGTTATTCCACATAAGAAACCAGCGCAAAAATTCACTGAAATCGACAGTTTTATTTTTTGACTCGGATCAAAGAGGTCAAGCCATTTTAAAAATTCACTGAAATCGACAGTTTTATTTTTTGACTCGGATCAAAGAGGTCAAGCCATTTTAAATAGATTTTCAGTTCTCACACAAAAATGAATTATATTATTTGATAAGTTTTTACGTCTATATTATTTATTAAAGTATGATAAATCATTTTGTTTATGTTTGGTGTTAAGCTGTTTTGATATACGGTATGGTTTTACCGCCTATTTTCAAAATAAATAATAACTATATACTCAGATGCTTAATTAATACACAGCTCCAAACACAACCATAACACTGAAATATTCAAATAATGCCCCCAAGAGATAACTATAATTTAATTAGCTATTTTAAAATCTATAAAATAATAATTTACGAAAAATATGATATGCACATGTTGTTTGTGAAATAATAACCTCGTTCAACAGTTTACTGCTGTTTAATTTACTTATTCGTGGCGTACGAAGCCAAGTAGACCGCATGTTAATCGTGCAAAAAATATAAACTAGTCTCGATCATCATGTTTTCTATTTGTGAACAAGTGTTCAGTGTCAGAGTTGAACTTTGCTCCCGTTGTGCCCATGGGATTGAAAAACATCCCAAACATTCTCAATTGACGAGTTAAAATTAAACTAATTTCGCTGTGAAATTAGTTAGATAGCTGGAAATCGAGTCAACCAATCGCAAGAAAAAAATAAACCCCTCTCGACACGCTCCACCTGTTGTTTTCAGTTACTAAAAATAAACATCACAGACACCGCCCGGTAAATATACACCGTGTCACGCGATGGTGTGTAGTCCCACGTCAGCAGGATCCATGACGTAATGGAACCTGTTGTTAATCTATCTCTGATTGGAAGGAACGAAAAGCATTAGCAATGAATTAACCAACCACACACAGTTTTAAAGTCAAAACAAACATGCCAGGGCACACTGGAAATATATATACACCTTAATCAAAAGCACTGTTTTAAACGAATGTATATTTCGACAGTCTTTTATTATTTATTTTAAGTACAATGTTTCCCATAGTCATACACGTGCAATATATGCCTTTAGGCATAACAAAGACTTATTTACATTGAAACGGAATTTAATTGGAAACATTGTTACATCTAAAACAGGTTGTCTACTTGCTATATTTATGTTACGGACCTGTAACTGATTATTCTGGAATACTTATAGTAAGTAGCATACTAACATAAATGTGAAAGAGTGATTCCCGACTATTTAGGTATGGTTCATCTAAGAATAAAGCATATTTGCTACAAG